TATTTTCTTTACTTTTCATTGTGCTTAATGGAAATGTCTACTGTCTCTGAAATTTTATTCTTTATTTCTAGGCTTTTTTATCCGTGGATATAATAACGCATATGTATGCCATTAATGTGCAAATTACGAGGAGTTATCAAAAAGTTCGTGGACTAGGGCCATAAAATTAAAACCGCTTTAGGCACATCACTGAATTTTAATATATCTAGTGAGCATCATCTTTTCTATCTAAAGAATAAACCATAAATCATAAATTTAATTTTTAAATAAATAAGTAATGTTTTTGTAAGCAAAAGTATGTCCACGCGGTATGTCCAACCACGAACACGACGTTTTGCGGACCTATGTGTAACTGAGAAAAACTCTTTTGATATGAACATTTAACATCCAAAAATCCCATTAATTCAGGTATGTGTCGAAACACAGTTGTTCCATAAAATATGAATTTTTCACTTGATTCTGGAATTTCTATGAAATTTTATCGTAAATTTTACATGGAATGTCCAAACAAATGAGGCCTTTAAAATGACGTCAAAAGGGGGAAGGGGTTTCCTTTTCCAACATTCTATAAAGTTTTGCCCCTGAAAAAACTGGTATACACATAAGAAATATTTAAACTGGGTACAGAGAAATAATATGCATCCAGAGTACGTGTCTTTTAATGTCAAAATAGATTCAGAGAGAAAAGGGATACACAGTTAATGTCGATTTGTAGTCAAGGTTTGAAAAATCAATCTTGTCAAAAAATGACGTTGATCATGTTTTGTAGATATTGAACTCTCAAAAGCTAAATATGCTTGCACAATCAACCGGGGATCTCTCCCACTGTATAAATTCATTTGGAATATTATATTCATTGAAAGCCGCTGTTCGTGACATTGAAAAGTCATATAAACAAGGCGGGTCAAAGTCCTTACTCAGCTCCAGGGGATCTCATTAAAAAAGTGTATCAGCTAGAAGAAGCGGACATTAAAAAAAAAACAACGACGTTGTCGGACGTCATAAAAATAAACGACGACAGCGCCGGGTAATCATATAATGTCGTTTTTATTTTATAATAATTTGGCAAATAATGAACGTTTCAGGCTAAAATTTTCAACATTTCTTTATTTTTTGTTGTTTTATGTTCCACATAAATTTTGAAAGCACAGACTGCATAGTACTAATTTTAGAGTCTCAGTCCACGAACTTTCTGATAACCTCTCGTATATAAGTCTAAATGAAATCCAACGGAGTACAGTAACTGTTATATATGTAGGCAAAATCAGTGTGATTAAAGAAATTAAAGGAATAAATCCAAGTGAAATTCATCGCAGCTCAATGCTGCCAAGAATATCTGTATCGAGTAACTCAGAGTGAGTTATTCTTGTGCTCGGAGATAGTGTGCATATACTGAGGTTTGTTCTGCCTGACTGACAACTATACATTAGATTTTTACGATTTTATCTCTCTTGGGTGTTTCTTATATCAAGAATGGACACGCATAAAGGATCGATAACTTAAAGAAAATACACAAGTCTATAAAAAGTTTTAAAATGTTTGAAAGGCGAAAATGTAAAAGTGGGAAAGGATCTGATGACCCATTATACGAGCTATAGTCCTTTTATAATGTCTTTGCACTTACTATAAAGTCTTATAACTTTAGAAATACAAGATCTAGACTCATGATGTTTATTGATGTGACCCTAGACCTTAAATAATTTTTCAAGGTCAAAGATAATGAAATCTAATTTTAAAGAGATAAATATAAAATGTGAATTCAAATCAGGTGGAAAGACCTCTCAAGAACAGTAAGAGTACTAGTAATTATTTTTATTAGGTTTTTACAACATTTCTGTGAAAAACGTATTGATATTCTGCTGTTTGTTATAAGGTCTTTCACCTTTTCTGTGGAAAGACCTCTTCAAATGCTTATGTTTATTATTTTCTTATTTCTGGGGGACTTTTGAAACTGCAATTTTTATAAAAACTTTTAAGTTCATAATACTGGATATTTAAAGTTACTCTGAAAAATTACCCCCCTTTTTTTCTTTATCTTTGACCCCTCTTGAAGTTATTGCTCCTTTTGCAAGAAATAAATGCTTGTCATTACTTCTCCTCCGAAACCGTACGAGGTTCAAAACCTTCACCAATGTCTTCGACTAGTTTTGGACACTTTCCAATCATATTCATTGCGAAAGTATTCTTCGATCCCTTTACTGAGTTATTGTCCCTGGAGGTTTTTGAATATATAAGGAGTAATTCAAAAATTAAAACGAGAAGTCGCAGAGACTTGGGAGCAACTGCATAAGATTTATGTGACCTTTTACCTTAATATTTCTGCAAAGTCAAAGGTTAAGGTCATATTACTTTAAAAAAGTATACCAATAGAGTTGTAGAGACATGGGATCAGTAGCAATGTGACCATGTGACCCTTGACCTTGAAAAATTCAATCAAGGTCATAGGCAGGCCAAGGTCATTTCATTTATTAAGTTTCTATCTGTGAAGCCATTTTTGAGTTCTTTTTGCTTAAAAATCAATTTTAGAAAGTATATTAAAAAGCAATTGAAAGAATTTGATATGGTGGAAAGACTTAATTGTTCTGTGAAAAATTAGTCTACTAGTTTTTATATATATCTACGTCGCCTGTAATAATGTGTCCAGCAGGACTATAGATTTAGGGTTAAGAAGAAGATGAGCATGATGTAGGATTATGTTTCATATACATGTACAAAATACTCAATGTAAATAAAATCACAAAAGAAAGATTAATTCATTACATTATTGTGAAACATATATTTAAAATTTTTATTTTAGTTCAAAAAGACGGAAACGTCAAAACATTTACTTTCTTTTCAGCGATATAACACTAGGGCAAGAATAATGGCAATGAGAATAGTTACAATAATCATAAACAGCAAATGAATATTGCTTATTTCTTTCAAATTTGCAGCCATTGTGTAAAACCACTCCATGAAGCTTTTCTTTGAAAATCCAATATTCTTCTCAAAATCAGTACACTCAGCAATGGGATCCAATACCTATAAAAAGATGTCACAACTTTAAACCTATATAAAAACCCTACACACATTTATGTTCTGTATACCACAATATACGTATAATCTAAGCAACATTATTATCTTTTTTGTTCTTTTGAAATCTATTCTCCTTTTTTTTTTTTTTTACTATTTTCTTTGCTATAAAGTTTGTAGATTCTTATGCTAGAATTAAACAAAAAAAATCAATTTACCAAAATACATGTAAAAATAAGGGACCATTAACTGTTATAAAAAATACAGAATTACAAATCTAAGCATATCAAAACCCTTCCATTGAATTTTAAGATCATTTGCCTGTATAAGGAACTTAAGCACCGGGATGTCTAATTCAGGATAATGTTTCATATTTCTCTCTCTAATTTCTTTTATGTTGTCATCGCAGTAGTTTGTGCAATGAAGATAGTCCAGTTGAGACAATCCAAGAGTTGTTCTAAATACCATTTCAAAGTCTTCAGAAACCTCGTCCTGTTCTTTCCGATCTTTTTTCGTTAATACAGTCACCAAATATTGGGATATCTCAATTAGCAAGAAAAAAAATATGTAAACGTATTCATGTACATTAATAAGCATGAACAGTTATTTTTTCTTTTAAGACCAAAATTTAGTAAATGAGTTAATAGTGTCTTTTAAGTGCTAGCTCCATTATTGCATCATAATTGATTTAAACTTAATTGTTCCCGTACTTTACAGCAGTTATAGAATTATGTAGAAACTGAAGCATTTTCACGGCATTCTAATAAAAAAAAGTAACCCGGCTACCTACGTTCATATTTATATACTTTTGAAGATAAGATCAAGAAAATATGGAAATCAATTTTCTGAGAGACTGTAAGCAATACTGAAACAGAATTTGTGCAAAATCGAGAAAAGAAGAAATCACTTGCTGTGGTCTTCAACTCGACATTTAGATATATCGCCAAAGCATTGTCAATTAAAAAAATTAATTTCCATTCCTACGTCGATACGATATATCCTAGTGAGCTTGAGATAAAGGATACCACAGAGTCTGACACATCTGTATCATACTTGGATATTTTACTTGAAAAGACGTTAATGGGAGATGACGAACGTGATGACTTTAACTTTTCCATCGTCTACTTCCCTAACTTATGCAGCAAAGTACCTTCATCACCTGTATACATAGTATATATATCTCAGTTGATTCGATACGCAAGGGCATGCTCTACATATAAACAATTTCTAAAACGGGATAAATTATTGACAAGCAAGTAGATGGAACAAGAATATCAGCTGACTCGTTTAAAGTCATCCTTTCGTAAGTTCTTTGATGGATGCAATCACCTTGTCAGCAAATACAATTTATTATTGAGACAAATTCTGTCGGACATCTTGCATACTGATTGTTAGATTATTACTTATACACTGAATTGACGACGGATTTTTCCGCTATTTCCCGATTATGACAAGGAGCTAACGGCGGGTGTGAAGCGGTCAGCAGGGGATGCTCACTCTTCCATGGCACCTGATCTCACCTCTGATGTTTCTGAGGTCCGTGTTTGCTCTGCTCTTATATTGTTTTGTTGTATTGACTTTGAGATTGAATACTGTACGCTATATCCATCCTATATTAGATATTTAAAAAACCCTAATATTTACACAAGACCTTCATATCTGTTGATTAAAAAAGCAGTTTAAAGTATCTATTTTTATTGGGTTTACTTAAAAATCTCGAGTCTTGATACATCTTATTTTACCAAGCTAAATTCATCGACGGATCGTTAGAAGAATGTGTTTCTCAATTTTAGAGAAATCTGATATAGGAACGTGTCATGGATCTTGGCCTTAGGTCTAATAAAAAATATTTAAATATTATGGAAATAAAGTTTTCAACTTTTTGAAACGCCAGTTTAAGATCAAGTTTGTCAATGGCTCTGAATAAGATAGGTCTTTATATTTCACAATGTCGTATGCATTATTTTAATGTGCGTTTATTTTCTCACCCTTTTTTCTGCGGAGTACTGTTAACACAGCTTGCATAAGTTGCACTGGTAAATTTGGATTTTCCGCTGAAGCCATAAAAATAACTCTGTCGACCTTCTTGCATTCTGGCGTTTCGGGATACTTCTTATCCGTAAACCACTTTCCGTGTTTTCTTATGTTAAAATGCAATAAAAATTATTTTTCATAACTAATTATAATTATTTTAAAGATTTTACCGAATAAATTATCAAAGAGACAAGAAAAGCACAGTTACACAGTAATAACCTGATTTCCTCTGCAACTTTAGCAAGAAGGACGTTGGACGGAACCCTTCCATAAAAGAAAAGGTTAAGTAGCTCGCTTGTGATTTCATCATTTGTATTCTGAAATCCTGCGATGTCAACAAAGATTGGAAAATCATACTCTTGGTGTGATTTGTCGGCAGAAGACATGTATTTCTCTCTTGATATCCTAAAAAAAGACTATAATCACTTTTTCTCAAATGAAACATATGAAGATAACGATAATTAATTAAAATCAAAAGTCCATAAACAAAACAAAATAGGAACAAAGCAAACCTAACAAAAAACTATAGTTAACTATACTTTGCTATGGTTAAGTATAGTAAATCAAAATGTCAAAGTCTTCGATAAAGTTTTTTTCAAAGTATCAAAGTTTTCAATTTAGTTTCAATGTGTCAAGGTTTTCGATAAAGTTTTTCAAAGTGATAAAGTTTTCGATCAAGTTTTTCAAAGTGTAAAAGTTTTTCGATAAAGTTTTTCAAAAATTAAAAGTTTTTCAAAGTATCAAAGTTTTCAATAAAGTTTTTCAAAGTGTCTAAGTTTTCGATAAAGTTTTTCAAAGAGTCAAAGTTTTTCAAAGTGTCGAAGTTTTTGTCAAAGTTTTTCAAAGTGTCAAAGTTTTCGCCAAAGTTTTTCAAAGTGTCAAAGTGATTACTACCGTAAATAACTATAGTATTTTTTGTTAGGGAAACATGGACCCCTAAAACACCAGAGGTAGGATCATGTGCAATGGAGGAGTGAGTATCCCCTGCTGACCAGTCTTACCGTCGTGTGCTTCTTGTCTTGATCGGGTCTGTCGTCAATTCAGTGTATAAATAATAGAATAAAAGTTAGTATGAAAAATGTCAGTCAGCATTTGACTCAATGATAAATTGTATTTGCTGACAAGGTCATTGTATAAACCATAGAAATGATGACGTGAAACAAGACTGCTGATATTCTTTTTTTATCAACTTGTTTGTAAATAATCAACCTCGTTTTAGAAAGTGTTCATACGTAAAGCATGTTCCTGCATATACAAACATACATAAACTTTGTATGCAGGTGATAAAGGTACATTCCTGCAAAAGTAAATGAAGTCGACGATAGAAAAGTTAAAATCAAAATAAGTAACTCATTTTAACAATAAAATGTACATGTAGCTTAAAGAGTCCCTTTATATTTTAGGTATTTTTTCCTATTCTAATGTCCTAAAATTTTGCCAGAAAAAAAGAATTCAAAATTTAAAATAAAATGAAAATATCCCCTGGTGATGAAAATAACGCAAGGTGTTTTATCTCTAAAGACGAATTTTTCATGTAAATGAAAAAGTCTTCCTTCTTGAATAAACAACAGCAACATAAATGATATACACGGTATGCAGATTAAATTATAAAATATCAAGTTTGGGGTATTATTAATTATTTGAATTTTATTTCTTAAGAAAATAATGTTATTTCTAATGCGCTATTCTAAACGTTGTAATACTCCCACCTAACACTTAAAAAAAGTAATAGAAAAGAACAAACCAACAGAAATCGCACATAAATAAGAAATCGCAAAAAACTTTATAAAACTTCATTATCACACGTTTTTTGTGTAACCTGGGCAAATAGTTATTAGAGGAAGGCATTCCATCTATGCTTTACCGAATCACTCGAAGTGTAATTGCTTGTCCAAATCCCCCAAAATCTCCCGTCCTTGTCCATTGCCGGTAGTTTCCAGTTATGCTAGTTATCATGGTATTAATGAAGGAGGACTTTCCAGCTCCTGGTGTTCCAATCACAGCCACAGTAAGTGGTCTACTTGTCTTTTTTCCGATTCGCTCTTTTAATTCTTCAAGGAAAGTTAGTCTATGTTCTTCTGAATTCATCATGAAATTTACAATGCACTATAAAAAGCAATTTTTACTTTAATTAAATTCAATAGGGTTAGCTTATCTGTGACATAAAAAAAGATTTGCTGATGTTTGTCTTTATCAAAAAGTCCATTGCAAACTGTGGGCTTTTGTTCAACCAGTGACAATAACTCCTATGCCTTGATTTATTTTTGAAAGAGTACAAAAGAATCAAGTGTTGGACGGCAACTCAATTAAATGACTTAAGAACACATAGCAGCATAATGAGGAAGAGTTGAGAGAAATACAAGTATTGTAGTCTAAATCTAGTTAATACCGAAATATATTGATTGGAATTGGTTTTTCACACCACTGCTGTATTTCGTTCAAGTCGAAAAAGAATCAATTGAAAATCTTTATTCGATAAACAAGGTCGAATTAAATCTAGGTTTTTTTTAGATTGAAAACCACACATAAAGATTTACATATAGAAGTTATTGACTAAATTTCGTTTTACTTTATATTAACATAAAACATTTCAGGGGATGCTTACTCCTTCATGGCACCTGATCCCACCTCTGATTTTTTGGAGGTTCATGTTTGATCTGCTCCTATTTTGTATTGTTAATGGACTTCTGATCTTCAATATACTATTCGTTATCTCTATATTTAATGCTTATACATTTACAATTATTTTACAAGATTTTAAGTTCTTTCGAAACAGAAGCAGTGTATCCTTTTTCCAAAAGTATATTTTCAATCAAATATACGTATACTCGTATAATATTATATTTAGTAATTACTTTTTCTATATATTCTGTGCCATCATGTAGGCTGTACGTAGCAAATCTTAATATTTCACATCCTGCTAATTTCTCTAAGACAATTTAAATCAGAAACTGTTGAATTATTATCATAAACTTTTCAATTACTTACCGCCTGTCACCGTCTCTTTTCTTTTATGTTTTTTCTTTGATGTCTCTATTTATGAAAAAAAAAATCAGAGTTCTTACATTTCCGTTTAAATGCTAAAAATACAAATTTAAAATTAACTTTTGGACAGAATGTACTTACGTATGTGCTGCCTTTTCCTGCTTATTTTCTACAGAAACACGTTATACTGCGAAAAGCGTAATTTATGTATTTATTTTTAAACACTTTTTAAAGAAACAAAACGAATATAAAACAATAAGTACTTTTTGTTAATAAATAGAGAATGTGTCATGATAATATAAGTGAAGAATAAAGTGTTTTTTAATGTGATTTACAAACGCACTATGTTTGTTATTATGTATGTTGTTATATTTCTTTATCAGTAGATTAATGACATACAAATTTAATTATCGTCTTAAAACAGTTAGAAAAAGAGATATTCAATTTCATCATGTGTTAATAAAATATTTGCTTGCAGGCTTTTAAATGTCATTCAAATGTATATATAAAGCACTAAAAAATAACAGCACTATATATCCTAAGCGTCGGATCAACTAAGAAGATACATGGTCATGGATGGAAATTTATATGAAGCACTAGAAGTAACCAACGACACGAACAATAAAATTTATCAAATTTTGGGACGATCTGTCGTGTAGTTTTGGAACAAACTTTGCAACTGATGAGATAAATGTAGTTTTTTGTTTGACAAGACAAATTCTCTAGCATTTTTTAGCTTTGGCGGTATTGGGGCTGTTAAAGCTGTCTGTGTCAGAGTTTTGCTTACAGAGAAGACATCTCGATACTCTAAGTTCAAGTTTTAAGGAGGCTAGGGGGTCAACTAATTATTTTTTTTTATTAACCACCAGGCATAACTTCAATTTTGGAACATGATATTTTATGCTGTCACTATCATTTGGCAAAGAGAAATTACATAAATTTTAGCATTTTATCATATTTTTATATGGAGCTCTTCTTCTAATGGAAATCAAATTAGTATTAGTCTAAAAATGGCCACGACCACCCAGCTCTTTAAAGCCTGCGTTAGATAATGGGACGTCCTGTCTTGTTCTTACTACAATTTCCTTTAAGTACCTCGGGCGTCTATATGCAGCCAATGGGGGTTCCCTAAAGAATTATTTCTTATGTTTCAAGTTGAGGTCCACGCCTTGTATTTTTTCCAAATATTCGTCGATTATTGTTTCCAAACTTTTCCATTACAACAAACAGTATGCAGAGTCTTGACATCAAATATCTTAAACTTAATGCTCCAAAGTGATAACTCTCTTCATTCGATGACTATGGTCCTGCTTTATACGACATTACTGATGAGGTAAATATAGTTCATAATGAGAAACTTAAATTGCTTTTTTTAAGGTTCCAAATTCAGTGAACCCAGTAAATTGTAATTGGTTTCCATATTTAATAAATTTAGTGAATTCTGTTAAAGATTACGCAAAGTGATGTATTAAACATAAATAAGACCTTGACACTTTGTCAGAATCAATTTAATGTATCAGGTGAATGTTAATGTATCGCATAAAGAGTTTAAGGGGCAACAAAAATGTTTATAATGCACAAAAAGGTTAAGGATCAACAAATTAAAAGTATTTTATTATAGAAAATAGAATGCAGTTTTCAATTAGGTGTCATATTTTATATTCAAGAATTGAAGATTAAACATTGCATGTGATAAATTGGTTGGAACACAAGGTACGACTTGTTCATTTGCCATGTAGGGGGTAGACCTGGAAATATTTTTTTTTCAGATCAAATTACATCATTAAAATGATTTTCAGTATTTTGTATGACCTCCCCCCGAGGTCCTCTAGCGCTGACCTATGCTGCCCATTGTTCATTGGAAAAGGTGCGTCTTAGCAAAAATGGCCAAATAACTATCATTACGGATTGTCGTACGCCTTGGACGTCCCGATTACAGCCATTTTGACATCTTCCTGCCTGTAAATATCAGTTCCATAAGATAAAGTCTTGCTGCAACGTGACGCTGCGTTTTGCCAGCTTCACAATACTTCCCTGGAACATTCGTTCATACTCATGTGCTTCCACACAGCGTCTAATCAGCAGTTCTGGCTGAAACATTCTGATGTTGACTTACGAAAACCCTCTTTTATGTTTCCGTTGTTTTACTTAGTTTTGTACCGCACGCCACGTATTTCCTTGACCAATATATCAAACAACCCATAAAACATATGTTACTAAAGCATCGTGTGGATAACATGTTCCTTAGACTACATAGGCCCTAAATTCATGGGTATAAAAATATAACTCTTGTTTAAAAATATGATCTAAAGCTAATTTCCCAGTGTACACTGCTCGATTAATGTGTACTTGTACCATTCGACGAAGCAAGTAACACTATTGCCTTTGTTTTTATGGCTCATTATATAAATTATATTTTAGGGGAACTACATGTATGATTCAATTCTACCTTTGGTAATCCCACTAATACCCATATTTCCATGTCTAAGGAGGAAGTTCTTCAAAAACATTTGTAAGTTTTAAAAATCTAATATTTTAATATTCCCAACAATATCAAATGAATCTTAATTACTAAACCTACCTTGTTTCAAAACTCCATAAAACTTCCGATAAACAACGATAAAAAGCGAGATCAAGTAAATTCTCTCTAAAGCCTGTTTCATTACAATCAAATATTTACATCAGTGAAGGAGAAACGTCAAGACTACCATACAACCGTGTATTCGAGATTTTGTGAAGATTAGTTGTGAATACTTTTAATCTTCAATGAACTCAAGGAAAATGTAAAATCACAAAGTATTACTATAATAATGAACACAAACAGTTCCAACTAGTCTTAAATTCAGCTTCTTGACATCAATGACAGCTGCTTTTTCAGAAAAAGTGGAACTTGTAAATCAATTTACCTTGTCAGTGTTTATTTGCTTGTTAATTTTGTTAAGAAACACTCTAATGAAGGATATGGGAACGGTATTCAATCTCAAAGTCCATAAAACAATACAAAATAAGAGCAGAGCAAACACGGACCCACGAAACATCAGAGGTGGGATCAGGTGCCATGGAGAAGTGAGCATCCCTTGCCGACCGGTCACACCCGCTGTGTGATCCTTGTCATGATCAGGAAATAACTGAAAAAAGTCCGTCGTCAATTTAGTGTATAAATAATGGACTAACAATGGGTATGAAAAACGTCAGTCAGCATTTCATGCAATGATAAATTGTATTTGCTGACAAGGTCATTGTATCGACCTTAGAATTTACAAAATGATGACTTTAAACGAAACTGTTGATATTCTTGTTTCATCAACTTGCTTGTGAATACCTTGTTTTAGATATTGTTCATACGTAGAGCATGCTCTTGCCTATCGAATCAACTGAGATATATATACTCCGTATGCAGGTGATGAAGGTATATTGCTGCATAAGTTAGGGAAGTTGACGATAGAAAAGTTAAAGTCATCACTTGTATCATATAGCTTGGTTGTTAGATTACCATTAGTGTCTTTTTCAAGTAAAATATCCAAGTATGAAACAGAAGTGTCGGACTCTGTGGTACATTAAAACTCTGAAGTAGAGAAATTTAAGATGATGCTTGATCATGAGTTTCGAATCAAAAATATCTAAGTGGTTTTTGGAGATAAGGTCATGCTACAAACTGATGGATTTCCCATGGATAACAACTTGGCTCCATTATTAGGAAGCATATTTTTATGTTAAATTATACGTTTCATTAATAAACAATAGTTACTTTTATTCATACGTCGACTCGATATATCCCAGTGAACTTAAAATTGAAGACATTAAAGTCTTTAAGAGACTACCACATGTGTTTCATATTTGGATGTTTACTCACTATTGATAATACAGGCGAACTAACGACTAATTTGTTTGGCAAACGAGATGGCATCATCCTACACCGTCATTTTTCTTTGTCCATGTGATTACATGTCACTATCTGCTGTTTATGGGGTTAACATCTCCCAATTATTCGATACTCACAAGCGTACTGTCAAATTTGTAAACTAAGGCAGGCTTTTGACAGATAAATTGATGTTACAGGAATTTGAACAGTTTCGATTAAAGCAAGCATTTCGTAAATTTTATAGTCATAATAAAGTCTTAGTTAGAAAATACAACTTATCATTGCTTGGGTATATTTTTGTTATCCCGTTTCTTCTGCCAGTCACTAAATTTTCTTCTTAACACTACTCCTACAATTTAAGCATAAGTTTTTGAATGATTGGTTGTACATATAAGTTCTCTGAAGTTAACATCAAAGAGTTGGTTGAGTTTCTGACTGGAAATATCTTTGTGGTTTATAGAGCCCAGGTTTTCCAACAATCTATTGGAAATCCCATGGGTACCAATAGCACTCCATCATAAGCAGATATATTTTTATGTTCAAATGAAGCAGAATTTGCGCAAAATCTTATGCATGAAAAGAAGAAAACACTTGCTGTGGTCTTCAACTTAAAATGCTTAACTGCGGGGAAGGGGGTTAAATTCATCATTTCGTAAGTTCTATGAACGATACAATGACCTTGTCAGCAAATACAATTTATCATTGAGTCAAAACCTGGCGGACGTTTTTCATACTAATTGTTAGTGCATTTTTATACACTGAATTGACAACGGATTCTTTCGATATTTCTCGAACATAACAAGGAGCAAACGGCGGTTATAACTGGTCAGCAGGGGATGCTCACTCCTCCATGGCACCTAATCCCACCTCTGATGTTTCCGAGGTCCGTGTTTGCTCTGCTCCTAATTTGGATTCTTTTATGAACTTTGAGATTAAATACTGCAGATATACAATTTAAACAGTGCGGGGTATTATACGCAAAGTATCAAAAGTCATGGTCAAGTGAACTGTACCTCTGATATTCATTTTATTTTCACATAATCTTTTATGACAAAAAGTAATATGCTAAATGTCATAGATTTGCAACTTAAATATCAAAACACACTGTATACAGGCATAATGAATTTTGAAAAGTAGAATACTAATCAAGTACAAAGGTAACGAAATTGGCGATCATGGTGACTCACAAAAGAAAAGCAATACATGTGCAAAAAATCAAATACATGCTGTAAAATCACATATTTTCAAAGGGTCATATTTTTTCATGGTTTGATGAAAATATAATGATTCATGTGGATTTGATTTCGTGGTTTAAGAATTGATAAGTAGTAGTATGTGTGAATAATAATTGCATATTGTGGTGGACAAATATTCGTGGGTCTCTTCATACCTCGAAAACCAATAAAATCAAACCCCCACGAATATTAGTGAATTCCCATTATCTCATACAGTTCCTATATATAGGTGTTGCAGACGGACAGAAAGACAAATCCTCATGTGTCGCTCTGCTCTTGAATATTGTTTGTTATCTCTATATTCCTCTCTGCAGGGACATATTTTAGCATATACATATTTTTTATTAAACGAATATCAAATAAAGAGGTGATAGGTTATCTGTTCTTTCTATCGATTTTGTCTTTGGGATTGGCGAGAGTTGACCTACATTAAGTTTAATGCATAACTTTGTTGCTCGTAAACATTATGGAAAAAAAACTACTAACCATTAGTTTGCATGAAAAGTAACCCCATTATAAATTCAGCTCATCAAATGACTAATGTGTTACACATTATTTGCAGTTTTAAAGCAATGTCATGTTAATTACATTTTCATATTTAAAAAAAAAAAACAAAATAATAAATTTTAGATATCATTTCCTGATTTCTAAAATATGCAAGCCAAACCAATATTACAAATATTGTTGTTAAATGATATTCATATCTATATATATGTCTTTCATTCCTTTCTGTACCCCTAAATAATTCTGAAATTTAAATCGGCATTTCAGAAAAAAAAAAAAAACTGTCATTTCTTCACGTGTTACTTATGAAAAAATATCCAACAAAACTTACCTTTTACTAGTAAGTATGAATTCAGATGAATAAAAACAGTACCATATTTATAATTGAAATGCACTAATCATATATTAATTTGAATAACACTTAAACACTCACCTTATTTCCTTGCCTGGATAATGACTCAATAGAGACATTTATTAAAATACTAAATCAAGGCGCATGTCCAAAGATAAGAAAAAATTTAAATATATGCATTCTACTGATATATGACAGGAAGCTATTTACTTTATTTGTGATTTATTGTACAGAAATTTCCTTAATGGAAAATTTGGATATATCTGCACTTTGTAAAGAGGGTTCTATATATATTTGTAATCCTGTTCATTCTGTTCTTCTATCTGTCCTAAAATACTCTTACAATTTAAGCAGCAGAAAACGCATTTTTTGAATGTTTGGTGGTACTTATAAAACTTGCATTTTTTCAAAATATATTATTTACATAAAAGGGGTTCAGCTAGGGGCAAAAACGTTTTTTTTAAAACCTGGTTCTCTGAACTGTTCTTGCATTTTAGCAATAGCCAAATCGTTTTACTATGATTGGAAAGATCTTGTAGATATGCAATAAAACTTCTGAATTTTCATTTTTTTTCCTGGGGACAAATAGAGGTTAAAAACAACTTTCTTTATATAAATACTTGGTTCCACATTAATTCCTTTTAATCTATATTTGCTGTACTCCATTCATAATCTAGAATATTATTGGGAGGTTTCTGAAAATGTGAAATAATTGATCTTTCTATTTTACATTTTACTGTATATTGACAATTTTCCATGGGTACCAATTGCGTTCCATTATTAGCAGACCTATTTTTGTATTCATATCAAGCAGAATTTGTGCAAAGTCTTATGCGTGGAAAGAAGAAAACACTTGTTGTGGCCTTCAACTTTAGTTAAATCGACGACGTATTGTGAATTAACAATGGTTATTTCCATTCCTATGTCGAAACGATATATCTGCTTAATATAAATACAAAAATATGTCTGCTAATAACGGGACGCAATTAGTACCCATTGGAATTCAAATAGATTGTTGAAAGACCCAATCACCTGAATATTACCTGAAATACAATATTGTAACGATAAATCAAAAGACCACTTAAACATACTAGTAAGATAAGGTTTTTTCAAAGTTAGTATTCTAGTAAAAAAAACTCAATCTAAAGAATTTTTGACTAATATAGTTATTTCAAAAATTGATTAGAAGCTTTTGAATAAATTGTGCATCAAATGAAGATGACAGTTGGTCTATTTTCGTACCGTAGGAAATTCCGACTATTTGTTTAGAGTCTTGTTTTTAAAAAAAAAAACTGCAAAGATATTATCGATCAGAAACTCAAGCATTTAAATATTTAAGTTCTGAATACGATCAGGATTTCCTTTTTAAAATAAGCAAATTCAAAGAATTTTGTCCCACGCCTTCGCAATTTGTGGGTGAGATTGGGCGCACTTGTTTCAGACAGCCGGGCGATGACCCGGTTCACTTTTATCACATGTCATATTGACCCGGTTAGTGTCGCTGAAACGAGTGAAAAATAAGCCGGATTGGCTGGTATTGGTGCTGTTGCTGTAAAAAAAAATTATCAAAATTATCTGAACGCACGAGAACAACGATTTAGTGGATATATTTCGTTTTAATATTTACTAGTTCCATTCAATGTATAATTTGTGAATTTGGAGCAGATAGGGTCTCGTTACCCACAGAACTGGAAAGCAGCTTTAAAATTGAAAAAAAAAATGTTGTCGTGCAAATGTAAACATTAAATATGTTGTAAAGTCTCTTATTATCTCAGTAGTGTTTGTTTATTGACACCGAGACTACGACAAATGATAAAAAACGAATGTTTCACCATCAAGAACATTTCTACCTCCGTTTTCCGCCATATTGCTTTTCATTTGGCCGCTCGAAATTTTTCGGGCGATCCGGGCTACTTTCTGACCGCCCGGCGGCTTAAATATATTTGAAACAAGTGACTTGCCCGGTTCCGAAATATTAACCGGCTTGACCCGGCTTATGAAACAAGTGCGCCTAATGCCATAAGCCTTTTCACGTTAACTGCGGTCCTGTTTTTAGCGCATGCGTATAAACGCTTCCGGACGGCAACAAAACATCCGCATTCCAAGGTTGTTTACAATAACAACGTAATGGTCTTTCACTGCGTTGTTTACCAGTGTTCTAATCGCCAAGGCGAGAAAGCAAAGGGCAAGGGCATAAGTTTTTTCAGATTTCCAAAAGGCAGTAAGAAGAGGAAGGCATGGATTCGTGCGATTAACAGAGATGACTGGGCACCGAACGAATATAGTCGAATCTGCTCTGAACATTTCGTAGGGGGGTGGCACAGCGACGAGGTGGAGGATGAGAACTATAGACCTACAATTTTCACCTACAAGGAAAAACCGCAAACTGACTCTGACGTAGCTAGGGAAGAGAGAAAATGCAGAAGAAATTTGCAGCAGGTAGCTTAATATAAGCATATAAATAAACACACTATGTATATAGTTATAGTCATCTTCATAAGAAAAATGCATTATTATAATCATGATTATATGCCTTCGTTTTTAGCCAGGTCTCTTTACCTATTACTGTAAAATTTAATAGAAAAAATATTAACCTATTCACATTTTTAACCCGACCCATAAAATGAAGCCCTAGCTATATATAGATTAAGTAAAATTCTATATTAAATACTCAAAAATACCAATTCCTTACATTTAAAACATATGACAATTAATTCTGGAGGATTTTTTTTTTATGACACTGTCAATGTTTGAATTTTAAAAAATGATTGACAACATGTATTAAAGTTTGAAATAATTTGCACCATTTTATTACCTTGAAACTTCAAATTGTAGGAAATTAATGAAGCAGAAGCTAGGGACAGATGTTTAATGCAGCGGCACCATGAATTTAGCTTATACACCCACAGCTATTGCTGTTTGCAACCCCCAGATTCAGACTCTCAGGATATGAACAACAACAGCACCTTCGTACCAGATGAGACATTGAAATTAGATGACATTGACATAAAAACCTTTAATGATAAAGGTATATATACATGTATAAGACAAGGAATATCTGTAATGTGAAACATATATATATATATATGCAATATTTACCTGTCTTCAGCAGGAAAAAAAGTAACACCTCTCTCAATTTTTTTTTTTGTTTTCAAAACAAAATTTATAGGTGTACAATGTGACCCTGACCCTCTATTGGAGGAGAACCTTGCCCTGAGGAAAGAGTTGGAGGACCTCAAGGGAGAACGTGATCGGCACAAATGGAGTGCAGAGAAGATAGCCAATGATGATGGAAAGACCAAGTATTACACTGGGCTACCTTCCTTTGCAGTGTTCACCTGGCTTTTCAAGTATGTAGGATGGAATTTCAAAAGCATTTTGGGAAAAAAGAAAACAGTACCCGTAAATCTGGAAATTTTTGCTGTAGATAAATTTTTAGCAAATTTGTGCATTCATTGCATTCGCAAAAATATTTTTCTTATAAATAATTTACCAGTAAGAAAATGTAAACAAAGCAGTGGTATTTCGCAGAAATTTGAAAATTAAAAAAGTAATCAACACCATTTTGACCCGAATTTGCAAAATAAAATCGAGTTAATCGGCGTAAAACTTTCCAGATTTAAGGTATTTGTTTACCTCTTCTCCAAATCTCACATCTGCATCACAATAAATTCTATTTTAATATTGTAACTCTGACAATAATAATTTTTTAATGATAGTTTCCTGAGACCTAAGGCAGAGAGAATGAGGTATTGGGTTGGTTCCAACACAGACCAGGATTCAGACAGACAGAGAGTATCAACAGGCTCATTGGGATTGATTGACCAGTTATTTGCTGTACTCATCAGATTAAGACTCGGACTCTTCACATCAGACTTAGCTTACAGATTTTGTATTTCAGAGAGTACTTTTTCGAAATACTTTTCCACCTGGATTTCTTTACTCTCCTGTGAACTTAAGTCTCTCAATCCATTTCCGACTCGAGATATTATTGATAGAACCATGCCATTATCTTTCAAAGCTAAGTATTCTTCTGTTAGAGTTATACTTGACTGTACAGAGCTTTTTATACAGAGGTCTTCAAATCTTGAAAATCAGAGTTTAACATATTCTAACTATAAACACCATACAACTGTGAAGTTTCTTGTTGGTATTACACCATCAGGTGTTATTTCTTTTGTTTCTGTAGGCTGGCCAGGTAAGATATCAGACAGAGAACTGACAATGAATTCAGGTATCTTAGATTTATTAGATGAAAATGACAGTGTCATGGCTGACAAAGGCTTTACAATAAGAGATCTGTTGGAAAAAAAGAAATGTAAATTGAACATTCCCCCATTTAGAGGTGTTAGTCCACAGTTTTCACCAGATGAGGTATTTGAAACACAGGAGATAGCTTCTTTAAGAATTCATGTGGAGAGGAGCATAGGTAGAGTGAAAAATTTTCACATTTTAGATGGTGTTATGCCTCTAACCTTGAAACCACTTATCACCAAGATTTTTCAGGTCATTTGTTGGCTTACAAATCTGGATGTTCCACTTGTTAATAATTAATATTTGTACATGTATTTATTCCAAATATACATTATAGTGCAACACATTTCAAAATTGATTATTGTGAGTTATCAATATCAATACATGTTTAAACTAGATATTTTTCTTACATGCAAATACCGGGTATTATATTCTCAGCTTATTTGAGGTCTTATAATTTGAATGGAAAAAAAAACTTAATTTTAATTACTAGAAGAACTTTGATGTGAATTCCTGTTCTACAGTGTATTAAAGAATGAAGGAGTAATTAAAAAGATATTAAATTAAAATTAAGAATAGTACATACAAATAACAAATAGAGGTTGGCTGATATTGTGATCAAATTAATATTTCAAGGTATTTGATATTTTATTATTTTACCATCATACCAATGTTGAATACGAACATTTTTTGCAACTCTTTATAAACAACTTTGAAGTGAATATTGTAAACTTTTTTTAGATAAGGCATTTATATCTTATAAAATTCTTAATCCAACAGATGTTAAACCAACAAGAAATATTTGTAACTTCATATGTCATGCATCTAACATAAGACAATGACTAGATTTGAATACTTTATTTGAATATGTATGACTCTTGCCACATGTGGGGTTTTTTGTCAATAAATAAATTAAGTTAATTAAATTTTTCATTTAGCTCATTTCATGGAAAACAAATAATGAAATTTTTTGAATATATGATTCATATCATTTCATACAGTGTTTGTTTTAATTACTTCTTGGCTATGTGATGCATATAAAAATCAATAAGTCTAGGCATCATAGATGCCACAAACTCAGAATCAAAATATACCCTGTCAATACAAATATTGTTTTGTGCAGCGTCTGTCCAAACGACAAAGTCACACCAGGGATATCCTTTAATTGCCAATTCCCCTTGGACTTGTGCATAGTACTTGTGGCTCTTTTTGAGACGTGGCCCATCCAGACTTTCCTCCAGGCTAAAATTGGGGTATCCCATGGCAATAATTTCACCCACTTCCTTCCTGGTTACTTGGGTTCCCTGGATGGAGTAGGGGCATTTAATTTCCAAGAGACCTATGTTGTCACCATCCAAAACCTTCCCATCACTGGAAGCACCCAAAAATGCATGATCTGCACACAAAGTGAGACCTGTATCTTCGACGGAAAAGTTGTCGTTAATGGCAGATTTCAGATTAACATAGTCAGATCGTGCCTGGGCTTCCTTTTCCTGTCCCCATTTAACAGCTGGTGGTAGAGCAGCATACCTAAAGAAATAAAACAGAACTTAATTTCTTTTTTAAAAAATTAGCTGAAAAGGGTATACAAACATTGGGAAACAAATGTATTTCACAAATTTATTTTGTGAGTGGCAAAAATTTGATAAGTACACTACATATGTTAAAGTGTGGTGATCAGTAAACTGACATGTCACATGCTAAAAACTAATTAAGTTTACATGTATAAGCTGCTGGTTAAATTCTGCTATGTTTTTTATTTTAATTTAAAGTTTATTATCCCCCTGTTTACTATTATGATATTTTGCTTTCAGGATTATGATTTTCCTGTAGAAATTTACATTACAATTAAAATACAAAGTTAACTAATAATCCCTGTAGTCCCATTTGGGGTAAACATTAATATTCAGAACCAAATGAACAATTTCTTACATCACAAGTTCAGAATACATTAGTACATGTATAGAATTACCATTGAGAATACAACTTACTTATGAAGACTGGAACCCTCCACAACTTGCTTGATTAAAGAATTTGGATTGGGTCCAGCTTTCAAAACGTCACCGAACAAAGAACTAGTCAGTCGACCAATGTGTAGTTTCTGCCACATGTCAGATGTTCTCTGATCTCTTGTACTCTTCTCAGTGAACTCTACCAATTCATGGTCAATTGCAAATGGAGGTGCTGAAATTTGAAAATGAATAAAGAACTTGATGTAAATAAGGTGTAATACTTAAAAGAAGGTACAGATCAAATGTATACCATGTCACTGTTCAAAAATGTTTTAAGATGCTTTTTTTAGAATCAACATTATTAACAAATTTCCTTACCATTACCCTCACAGAAGATGAGACTTTTCATCCTGGTAATCATGATATCCTCAAAATCCTGGACCTCCATCTCCTGAATAGCATCTGGGACAGCATCAGGAATATTCCATAAGTGTGACATACCTTAAACAACAAATGCATAAAGTTTCTTTAAAATGAGGCCCAATATAGAGACAAAATTTTTTTAATTAAAATGTAATGATAAAATTTAAAAGAAGAGGTAATCATAGAAAATAAACAACTTCTTAATACATTAGAATATTTATAGGTTTCATTAATATCAAAAACTGAGGTCCAAGAATAGAACCATTTCACACTTATTTTGGACTATTTGTAAGGCATGACATTTTTGGCGCTACATGCTTACTGCCTGTCGTCAAATGGCGAAAAGATTCTCATTGGTTAAGATATTAATATCAGTTATTCTATACACTGATTGGCATTTGCCCAAATGTCTATCCAATGTACATTTCAACAGTGAAGGAAGTGTCAATTTCTAGAATGTCATGCCTTACTGAAAGTCCAAACTAAGCTTAAAATGGTTCTAATAACCAATCCATGCATCGAAATTTTGTGCATTAAAGCATGTATCCTTAAATTCCTCAAATAAATCATAATATGAATTGATATTTAGAAATATTTATTAATTCCAACCTGTTTGTGGGAATGTATCTCTTAAGTCTTTCAACTGCTGCAGAGTATTTAGCTGCAATAATGTAGCCCTCTCCCTTTTTTTTTTTTTTTTTTTTTTTGGGAGAGGGCTACAACTCCTTAGGATCTCTATAATGGTGCAAATGCGGGAATGATTTGCTCCCGCAACATTTCATGGTATTCTAACTATTTACTGACTTGAAATCCATAAACAAAAATCGTATTTTATGTTTCTAACTCTACCTTTCACTGTACAATCTACAAATTGCCATATATGAGGCTCTAACCTGCTGTTTTCAACAATTACAAAATACTCCAGTTTCCCGATTCATATTGTCCGCCATATTTGCTGTCCTGAAGCTGAACTTCCGGCTGTCAATTTTAACAGCTTATTTGCATATGCCCATATATGGTAGTGTTGACATATACGCACGAGTATGGAGCCTGCAGAGGAGAAAGCGCTGTTGTCGATATTGGAAAGGTTTAAGTTTGATATTAAGTTGAAAGAGGAGCAGAAAAATATTGTATTCAATATTTTAAAGAAGAAAGATGTTTTCGCTTTGCTGCCAACAGGATTTGGGAAATCCATGACTTACATTTTGGTACCCTTGATTGCTGACGAGGTGAGTCAAAGCGGGCGTCTCGCTGATTATTTTTCGGTGTTTTTATTTTTATTTTATTTCGGAGTGTTTACATGTAAATAACAGATTATAAATGTTTTAGCTAATTGGAGGTGCGCCAAGACACACAGCTTTAGTAATATCTCCTCTGAAAGCGCTGATGAGGGACCAGGTTGAATTCCTTGAGCAGCACAACGTGAGTGCAGTTGCTTTGATGGATGACACTAAAAACCAAGGTGATTATGATTGTTCCATATGTGGTGTGTCCATATTGAAAAAAAATTAAGCCCCTTCCTAAAAAAAAAGAAAAAAAAAACTACATCCAAGATAGAAAAAAATATATGTGTGAATCCAGATGGAGATAATGAGGATTTTTAAGGGCCCCTAATCATTTAATGAAGTCATGTGTTTTAATCAGAATTAATTAACTAAATTAAGCAATAATCCTATTATACAATAAATGTACTTAATAAAGGTTCTAGCTAGAGTAAATCTGGGGGTATGAGCAGAAAAGTATCACAACTGTAATGGGACTGTGAAGACTGACTTGTTAAACAGAGTTTACACATGTTACATTTTTAATTTCTTATTATTTTGCCTAAACAGACATCATGGACAAGCATTATAGTGTCATCTATGCATCACCAGAGGCAGCAATACACCAGAGATGGAGAAAGGTTTTGAGGGATAACCTAAAGCCAAAAGTCTGTGTGCTATAGTGTTTGATGAGGCACATTGTATTTCATCGTGGTAATTGATTTTATTAACATTTATCCATAATAATTGTTATGCATTGCTTTTTTTGTTTATAAGGACTGAAAATTAGATAGCCACTATTAACATCATTGTAATTTCATCTTGATGCAGTATATGTCATTGAACTTGTTACATGTCAATCATCTTTTTTAGGGGACTGGACTTCAGACCAGCGTATAGACAGGTTTGCAGTTTACAAAGCATAATAAACACCAGCACCCTTGTTCTAACTGCAACAGCAACAAGAAAGATCCAGGAGGACATTTATGAGACTCTCGGATTTCAAACAGAATCAACAAAAGTAATTGCAGTCCTGCCAGATAGGTACCTTTCGAAGCTTATTTAATTTTCTTAATCTGAAATATGCTTTAAATACTGAAATAAAATATTTAACTGTATTACAAAAAAGATAAGAATTATACATGTAGATTGTACCAGTACTTTAAAAAAGAGAAATATAATTGAAGTGAATTATGTTGGTGTGTAGCTTGTATCTTAAATTAATAAAATAATTTTTCATTTATACAGGCCAAACATTTTCTTAAATGTTAAGAATTCGTCGGAAAAGTATGAGGAAGAACTGGCATGGATTGTGACACACATCAAGAGTAAGGAAAGCCAGAAGAAAATTCTTCTATATGTCAGGTCCATCAATGTCTGCTACAACATTTATTTGTGGTTGATATCTTCCATTGACGACAGATTTTTTGTGCACAGTTCTCCGTCACTAGAAAATAGAAGAGTTGAGATGTTTCATGCCAACACCGATCCAATGAGCAAAGAGAGAATTTTGAATGAATTTACAAAGCCAACGGGGAATGTGCAGGTCCTGATTTCAACGGTGGCATTTGGTATGGGCATAAACATTCCTGATGTAGACATTGTTGTGCATTGGGGACTCCCAACTTCCTGTCTAAGTTACTGGCAGGAAGTTGGGCGTTGTGCAAGGGACGGGAGGGCTGGACAAGCTGTATGTTATGGTTTCAAGAGAAGTGTTTCCAAATGCGAAGAGGAAATGAAAGATCTAATGAAACTTGAACTGTGTGTACGTGTGTCAGTGCTTAAGAATTTCAATCTGCTTGGAATGCAGTCAAGGGATTTAGAAATTCTAAAGCAGAGCATCGATTGCCAGGGTGATTGTGACAGAATCTGCTCATGCAAGAAATGCAAATGTTGCACTGTGTGTAGTACCCATTGCAGCTGCCCCCAACGCACCAAAGACCATCTACAGTCATTCCTGATGTAGTATCATGTATCATAATGAATGTATGTAAATGAAGTGTCTCTGACCACCTAGAAAGGGAATTAAAACTCGTTATTGAAGTTTGTACTGTTATTATGCTGCAATTGTTCATATTAAATAGTTCTTGGTTATACTTGTTATTACTGTTTTAACTTTCTCTGTAAAATATTGCTTTTTAAGATTAAGCTATTGAATGAATTTGTAAAAATTTTCATACATTTCATTTGAATGAAATATCTTGAAAAGTGCAAGACTTGGCATGTACATTTTAATTTAACTGCAAGCAAATTATTTCCCAAACTGTATGTCGAGTATAATATTAAAATCTGTTCTATAATGTGGCCTTTAGACCATAAACAGAGAATATTTATAAGTTGTTTAAAAATACATGTAGTTAAGTAATGAACATGGAAAAACATATGAAAAGCTAATTGCAGTAATCTTGTAAAGTATCCCAAATAAAAATATGTGAATTTTAAGTGTAAGATTTGACCATGTTATGTTCTCTCTTTACTGGCTTGATGAGATAATCAGTAGACAAATACTAGATAAAAAAAGCTGTATATTAAAGGTAACCATGGAACACATCAGTTGCAGGGCATGGAGTTAAGGTTTTTATTTCTACGAGAAAAGACTAATAAACTTTTTACCTTTTAGGCCATATAATAAAAACTTAGTTTGATGTACTCTGACCCACAATTTTGAAGGTGGATAAGTAATTGTTTGGTGCTAACGGACAAATTGATTTTAGCCACAAGAAATCCACATACTGGTACTTGGAAATTTATTGATATGTTCACAATACAGTGGGCAATACAGATTTATTGTTTGCTCTAAAATCATTCATTGAAAAAGCTTCCTTGTGTAGTTACAGTGTATTCATTTTTAAAATGAACTAATGTCTGTTTCTGTGAAAATTATAGAAAATGTATGGATTGGATAGGGGATTTTGACAGGTCGGTCAAAGTACATCAAACAAATAATATTTTCTTGTTCGTCTTTGTTCCCAAACTATTACCCCCCCCCACCCCAGCCATATTTTAATGACTGCACATTGTTGTCAATGACAAGTCTCCAAGGCCATCTTAAGAAAAATTGCTTGCTCTTTCACGACTTGGTCTGAAAATATTGGGTCGAGGTGAGAAATTATTTTTTAAAAAATTCAAATTGGATGCTAACTTTTTCAATAATTTTCTAAAGAGTACATTTAAAAATAATTACTTTCTGGAAGTAAAAGAAATTTTGATTGGGGTCCATTTCAAGCGAGTCAGGGAAAGGAATACAAACAATTTTTTTAAAGATGGCCAGAGATAGTTTTAATTAATCCGAATTCCATATACCAAGAATGTCACAGTGACAGTTTGGTTGATATGTTCCAAATCATTCAAGAAAAAGAAGTACATGGACAAGCAACAGATGGATTGATCTTCTCTTTGAACAAAACACTTGACTGAGTCATTGCTTGGTTAAGACTATGATACAGTTGAACCTTGTTACCTCAAGTTCCATGGGACACAGATAATCTTTTGAAATATCTAAGGTTAATTAATATACATGTAAAAGAGTAAAAACAGGCAGTTTGGTCTGCCAAATAGATTTTACATAAGGCTGATTTTCAAGATATGAAGTGTGTATTGAGATAATGAAGTTCAACCATACTTTCTTAACATAAAGGCTAAATACAATGAAAATGAATAATAATTTTCAGGCTAACAAACATTTTTTTAAATTTATTTTGATTCAAATGCATACAACTTTGTCTCTGAAAAATTGGAACTTCATATACTTCTTTCTTTTCCATTTACTTCAGAACATAGACATTACAAACTTGTTAATAAAATTGAATACATGTAGAAATTGCAGCACCAAGTCATTTTAAGCTGCAATGTAAAGACATTTTGAGAGAATTGAAAATTAAATCATACTAGTTCATTGTGCTAATGACATGTTACAGTCAGTTTCTCTGCATTTGAATGGTAATTTCCCTATGCTTTGCTAATTCTTTCCTCAGTCTGACAAGTCTCTTCTTAAATGCACTGGCTGAGATTTTTTTATACAGAATATGTGTAAAATCTGGGAATGATTTAAATTGTCTCCCTGGAGTTGTTGTAAAAATGTTTTCTGGACTCATCATGGAGACAAAATCTATGATATCATTTTCCCTGTAATGGGGGCTAGTTGTTTGGATGGTGGGCCTTTGCACAGAAGCTACCTGCTTCTCATAGACTCTGTTAATCACCTTTCCAACACCCACCATCTGGCTATGTCTGGCAATGGTAGCCTCAGTCAGTTGTCCTGCAGCATCTTTGACACTTTCTTCAAATTATGAGAGAAAAAACAAAATGATTAATACATACGTACTTTTTTTGTACATACATTAAGACTGTTTTCAATACATAT